AATGACCAAAGACAGAATACACCGATCGATCGATCGATCGATATCTGAGGGATCAGGAGAAGGCGGCAGCGTTAAGGGAAGTAGTCGTCAGTGCTGAAGCACGGGAAGAGAAGTAATGAGAACTGATTAGCCTGGACCAAGTGCTTGAAAACACAGCTCTTTCCCCCTTTAATTTTGCTATAATTGACCAGCTCAGCTTGATAATTCACTCTTTTGACAAACCAAAATGGCCCCTGCCACTTCTCCCCAAGACCATGGTGCAGGTGAAGGTACTTTGTCTTTTGTATTTAAAAACCCAGGTCTGATTATTGATGCTTTCGGAGAGCTGAGAGACCAGCAGGAACAAGTACGTGAAGACATGGAGGTACTGTTCTTTCTACGTATTTCAACCCCACACAGGCTCCTCAGACCACAGACAGGGCTATTAATTAGGGCCGTCCCTAAGCAAAACTACTAAAAGGTTTGCTTCCCGTGCCTGTTGTCCCACGTCCTCTGCACCAGTCTACCAGCCCTGGGCACTAATGCCCTGTGTGCTACACCCTCCCATGCCCGACACACTGCTGCCTCCTGTCCCATAACCAGAGGGAACAGCGCCTTCAGCTAGGAAGGTGGGGCTGTAAGTAACTGCCTGATAGCCAAAGCACTGAACGGGACAGCAGCTTTCCATGTCCCCAATTCAGCTGGCTGTCAGCGTTTTTCCTCTCTGTCGCTGTGCATTCTAATGCCCTTTCTATTTTTTTGTTTGTGTTTGTAGACCAAATGCTTCATCTGTGGCATTGGCAATGACTACTTTGACACAACCCCTCACGGTTTTGAAACACATACGCTGCAGGAGCACAACTTAGCCAATTACCTGTAAGTATCCTGGTTAAGGATGTCGTCTTTAGGGCAAAACAAAACAACTCTGGCTCAAAGTTTAGTCTGCTCGTGCTGTTTCTCCCTTTCTGTTTGGAGAGGTAGCCATGATCAGTGAAGGCGCCTGTATGAGCCAGACTCATTCTCTCTGCTCTTCGTTGGAAACAACTGTGAACTCTTCCACACCTAGGCAGCCTAACCCATGTCTAGACCCTATTCCTCTCAACAGCACCTATCTCCAGCAATTCTTTACATCCTTAGGAATGTCCACTTTCACCTCCAGCTGTTGTCCAGGCTTACTGCCCCCACCTTTTCCCTTTCTGTTCTCTGTGAACGCCTTACTAAAAGGCCTTCTTTCCCCACCGTATCACAAGATTGCGTTGTATCATGCTGATGACCAGTTTTTAGACATTCTGTCTGCTCTGCGGCTTCCATTAAATTCTGTGAAAGTGGGATATTCTGGGGAATGTTTATAATGTTAGCAATGCAAATAATAAAAATATTTCACTTTTCCTAGGGTCAAGCATTTACTCAAGTTATTGGAACCTATTCAGTACCACTTATAGGGCATACCAATTACATGACCTGATTATTCAGACTCCAGAAAGTGTGATTCTCAAGGGGAAAGTGATCTACTTTCTGACCTTGCTCTTCCTGCATTCCATTCACATCTCACTCTTTGGGATAAAACAGGCCAAAGCTTGTGTTGAGTTTCTTTTTAAATAACCAACATCCTTTCCCTCGTATCATGAGTATTTACCATGGCCATTTCTCATTAAGAGGGCGCTAGTCAAGATACAGAAGTCAGCCCACAGCCCCGTGGCAGGCAGCACCAGGGAATGATAGACTAGAAGATGTTAGACATCTGAGTTGGGATCCCTTTCATGATACCCTGAACACTCTATGTGGTGATCTGCCCGCTAAATAAATGTGCCAGGAAGAGAAGAATGTTTCACCAGCCCAGGGCTTCCGTATGATAGAAGTATGAAATTCTCAATCTTGGGAGAGAGAGAGAAAGAAGCCGTCACAGTTAGAGCCATTTCTATGTGCCAGGACATAAGATACAAATAGTGCTACCCTGTAAGACTCGAGGTTTGGGGCTCTGCTACATGCAAGGTGTTTTCTCGACCTTCTCTTCCTTTACTAGTGTCACATTTTCCTTTCCTAGAGGGCACGAGACTGGTTTTTCCAGAAACCATCTCTGGAGTTGTATAGTATGAACCGAGAATAACAAAGAGACTCAAATCTTTCAAACAGATCATTTAGCACAAGTGAGACCACACCACCTTTCCCCAGTTTTCCACAATGAAAAACAAAGTGATACTTCTGGAAGGAGCATGAACTGAAAGTAAATCCTGTCCACATTTTTCATGACTCATCCCTGATGTGTGATTTCAAGTCAAATGTTTATTACATGATAAACTGGCCTACTGATAGTTTTGTGGTAAAGGGTCCTGCCCCCCGCCCCCGACTTTTTTGTGGTAAGCAAGATAGCTTGCAAGTGGGCTTAGCTCAAATTCTGGGGGATTAAGGAGGCTCTCCCTCATTGGCTTGGAGATGAGCATCGATCATTAGAAATGCTTCCTTGATTCTTAAAGGCTTCCTAGTTTTCAAACCGTATTACCAGTTTCTCTTTGTAAAGTGTCAGATAGTTTGAGTAAGAAGTACCTTGGGCTAGAAGGATGGCTCAGCTGTCAAGAGCACTTTTTGCTCTTGCAGAGGACCCAGGTTCAGTTCCCAGCACCCACCCAGGCAGCTTATAACTGCCTGTAACTCTAGTTCCAGGAGATCTGATGCTCTCTTCTGGACTCTGCTGGCTCTTGCAGGCACACAATAGAAATATTTTTTTGTTTGGTTTTAGTTTAGTTTTTGGGGGTGGGGTGGTTTTCAAGACAGGGTCTCTCTACGTGCCCCTGGCTTTTCTGAAACTTGGTCTGTAGACCAAGCTAGCCTCAAACTCAGAGGTTTACCTGCCTCTGTCTCCCGAGTGCTAGGATTAAAGGTGAGCACCACCATGCACACTTGTTTGTTTTTAATTAACAACCTCTACCCTTCCCCCATTTGTTCTTTTTCCAGATTCTTTCTGATGTATTTGATTAACAAGGATGAAACAGAACACACGGGTCAGGTAAGAAACAAACTTTTTAACTAAGAACTAGATAGTAAAAGGAAGACAACACAAACCTAAGTCTTGAAATCTGAGTAGTACACTTCGGGATATCTGAGGCTATTAGTCTCTTAGATGCATTTTTTTCCATCACCCTTTTTGTTACTTAAGAAGTGAGAATTTTATGGTGACTTCAGTCTATTCCCCAAGTTCCCCTTGATAATCCTTCCCGACAAACACTGACATTTTCCAAACCATTGTGTTTACTGCTTCTGTATAAAATAGCTGGAGGTGGGAGGACAGTAGAGGGAGAAAGACAACGAAAAACGGAGTGGGTGGCTGTAACAAAGAGCAGGAGATTCAGAGTAAGACAGTGGGAGAGACAGCATAAGAAAGAAGGGCCTTGCATGTGGGTGACAACAGATTGTGGAGGTGTGGTGAGAGCGCATGAGTGAGTAGCTGTGTCAGGTAATTCTGTGACTAACTATGAAAAGGAAAGGTGGAGAACACAGCAAGAAAAGCCTAGTTACTCAACACTCAAACGTCAATGGATAGGAAAACTTTATGGCGCAAACACTCGGGTTTCATATCGGGCCTCAGGTAGCATGAAATGTCCCCTCAACCCACATTCTTCTTTAGTCCCCGTTTACAATTGGCATGGGATTGAATAGCTAAAGGGGGCAGAGGACAGGTTTTCCTCCTCAACTCCACCATGATGGAAAGACGTGACTTCTTGCTCACAAAACCAAGTGAGCTAGGGAGAGCATGAGATCCCATCGGTCTTCCTAAAGCAAATCACACAGAGCAAAAAATAAACTGATTTTAGCTTATCGTGGTTTTAACACAAAGTACCCTTTGCTTACACTGTTTCAGGAATCGTACGTGTGGAAGATGTACCAGGAAAGGTGCTGGGACTTCTTCCCAGCTGGCGACTGCTTTCGTAAGCAATACGAAGATCAGCTCGGATAAGTCCGAGTTCAAGACGAGCCATGATTCTGGACAGTCACCTTCTAATGGGACAGAATCCTTTTTTTATACTTCTTTAAAAAAAATCTATATTTGGAAATTGATTTGGCATCTGTGCCCAATGGACAAAGGATGGCAAACCGTCAAGGATTCCACCCGGCTGCTCACAGGGCTCCCAGTTCTAAGAACCCAGTCTAAGAGTTCAACTAGTTTCTTGGAATAGTTCAGAGAAATATGAAGTCTTGAACACCTAAATGTCATGCAAGAGGATGCCGGCCAGGGACCGATGGGGAGACCTACACAAAATTATGTTCAACTCATGTTAACTGCAACCTAATTTTTCCATGGTACTTGCTAGTGACTCTATCCAGAATCAGCTTGAAAAGCTTTAAGCAGCTAAAGAAATAGAAAACAAACACTTTGTCGAAACTGAAATATCGATTAAGTGCCTTAAAAAATCTCTTTAGATATAGCTATGCAAGTTTTTTATGTTTGTGTTCCGGAAGGACAACTCCATTAAACAGCTGTGCTGATATTCTGTCTTACTTTATGAAACTGCACCTGAAGGTTATTCACATCATTTCTTCACTAACAGCTTCTCAACTGCTGTTAGTTGAAGAAAGGCACTGTACTGAAATTTCAGAAAAGTCTCAACCTTATACCAAACTTGAGTGATGCTTTGTGGTCCCGTGTGAGTAGTGGAGCTGCCATGTTTTAGGTCAACCTCCTCCAATAAAGTCAAGTGCCCACTGCAATAAAGTGACACATGCCAGTTCATGGTTTGGCTTCTCGTCATGGACCACTTCGGTCATTCCACAGCAACCTGACTGCTGGAGTCAGGGGCAGGAGACAAGCAGCCCACGGGCTTCATACCACAAGGAAATGTCCATCGACCAGAGGGTGTTTCTTTTGACCAGCTGCCTGCCTTGTTCCTTGTGTATAGCCCTTAACTAGCTCCTGTTATTGTGTAATATTGTCAGGAAGGAGACTGAAAACATAGCTGGGACACCCCCGGTCCTTAAAGAAATCTATTAGGTGACTAAGCCAGATAACAACAAAACAAAGTCCCAAGCAAGCCTCATACATGTATTCAGATGCCATCAAAAGCAGAGGTAGGCATTGGCTGCTGTAAGCGTAACAGTACATGTTAGCATGGGGTGTTCTGGTAAACTAGCCCACCCTTAGTGTGCTTCAGGCACATTTCCCTCCATCACCCCCCTCCTCAGGAAATCATGCTGTCCAGCCAGTCTTCCAGCTCTTCCTCGGTGACATTTTTGGATGTGCTCGTCTGTTCAGGTTCCACATTTTTCTCTCCGGTCATAGACGGTTTTTCAGGAACTACGGAAATAAAATCAACATTAGCCACTTCACATCAATTATAATGGCGAGGGTTAAGGCGTCCTGGGGGTTTGTTTGAGGATATACTTGAGCCCAAATTGCTACTTTCTCCACAACAAGCAAGACATTCTCATGAATGTCACCCCCTAAGATACAATCAATAGTATCTAAACAAAATAAGCAAAGGTACAGATTTGCTCTCCTATTTATACTGAAGATGAACTTCACTGCTCACTGGTGTTGTGGAGTTTGTTCTAACACAAAGACCAACAGCATAGCTTAGTGTCCTTTTCCTTTGGGGGCAATCCTGAAACATCATAATGACTCTCCAGTACTGTATATGACAGTTACCACATCAGAAGGGCTACCAGCTCACAAAATATTTACAAGATGTAAACATTCTTTTGCTTTTTTAAAAAAAAAAAGAAAACAAATCTGTTTCCAGCCTGTTCAGTCGATTAAAAGGTCTTCTACTGAAAGGCTTTTACAGCAGTTCAATTTGCAGCTCTAAATTTAATACTGCAACTGGGCTGGTAGCCACTTTGGAAGCCTAAGATATATTGAGTAAGAGAAACTGTGAGAAAGGTCAAAGCAGGGGAAGCTGTGATTTGCCCAGGGGAAGAGATGCCTGGGACATGGCTAAATCAATGTCAGACACACAGGGGCACGCATAGGTGAAGGGGTAGGGCTGTTCCCATAAAAACACCAGAACTGAGCAGATGAACGGGAAATGAAATGACAGCCATACCTGTTTCCTCCTGGGCCACCTGCCCCTCTCTTTCTGGTTCCTGGTTCTGAGATGTCTGGTCCGGACAGATTCTGTCTTCCTCTTTCACAGGTGCATCCAAATGCAGCAACATGTCCAGTTCATCTTCCAGATGGTCTGCCACGGACTGTGGTGGGAAGGGGGCTTTCTGCAAACCCTCTAGAGGGTTTGGTCTTAAACTGTCTTTGCCCAGAGACCTGGGACAACTACCCACAGCAGATCTGAGCTCAGAGATGGGCCCCCTTAACTGCATGCCCAGCTCCTTGCCGTCATCATTTCTCCTTGGTTTCACCTGTGGAAGTTCTAGAGGAATTGTGGTCTGAAAAAGAAGCATGATGTCAGAGTTTAGTAGAATCCTTGTGTTTGCTTAAGCACAAGAAGTTAAGGAAGCCATACAATCTTGTAGGTAGGAAACTCAATTCAGACAGACCACAAAGTTATCTCCTATTGGAGCCCCACTGCAGACCCCTTCCTGACCCGCCCAGGGTGAATGAAGAGACTATGTGGAAACATCACAGGGCTGGGGCTCCCCTCTGCTCCCCTCTATTATGTGCTAACGAGCTCCGAGGTGGAATTAAAAGCCCACATCTTCCTAACCCTGGCCTGAAAGCTGACTCTACCACATGTCTATTTGAATTGATACTTAAGTCTATCATGAAGAATGGCCTATCTGTAAAAGTTACTAAGTAGTAATTAGCCAAGTAGACTTGGTCACTGTGCTTAGATGACGGGGCAGAATCATTTGCCAAGAAGAAAAGAATTCAACAGTCATTTGAATATAAAATGTCAAATGTGAGGAAAGTCAGATTATTTGGCTACATTTATAGAACATACAAAACCAGGTAAAACTATAGTAATCGAAGCCAGGGTAATGGCTGTCTTGTGGGCAGATGGGGATTTAAGGTATGTGTGGTGGCCTCAGAGGAACTTGCAATACTCTGACTCTTGAATGCTGATTCCAGTTACACACACTTACCCATACATTTGGACCTATCTGTGCTATGCTTCAAAAACTTCCCATATGACTGTGACAAGGTCTCAGCCTAAGGTTGAGGAACCGTCTTTGGGGGAAAGGCCACAGGGGTGGCAGGGGCCCACAATGCATAGGCTAGAAAGTGTGCCCTATAGCAACTGATCCCTACTCTTAAAGACCCAAATTGCTAGTAACTCCTCAGAAATTTACTTCAGTATGGCCTTATAAGCATGAACTAGACCAATGTCCAGAATGGCAGTGTATAAAGCGAAGCCAGGGCGTGGTCCTCTAGGCTAATCATACAACCACTTCATAGATCTCTGTGACATAGATCTCTGTGAGAACCTGGAAGTTATTTTCCTTATTTTTCAACCTCCTAGGTGATAATAATGAGCGCAGTTGAGAACAGACCTGAAGTCTATGGATATGAGTGTGTGTGTGTGTGTGTGTGTGTGTGTGTGTGTGTGTGTGTGTGTCTGACTGAGCTAGGGTCTCTCACCTGGACCCAGGTGACAGCTTTCTTAAGATGGCTTACCTACTCTGTCTTTGTACAAGAACACACCGACACAGCCATGAATACAAACTCCAAGCGCTCAGCCTGCTTTCTATTCCCCCAGCACAGTATTTACTATGAACATTTTCATTAATGCGGACCTGCCTGGGTCATCCTCTCCTTTCACTGCAGCTCAGGTAATCTTACACCTCAGACCTCAGCTTACCCACTGTTTCCTGAGGAAAGCCAGTCCTACCCACACCAGGATACAGCAGGTTCATTACTATAAGCTCTTATGGCACACTGTAATTCACATAACTTATCATTTCTATGCATCTGTATAATTACTTCATTAAACTGATTAGTATCAATATTTTCCAGTAGATTGAGCTCAGGGAAGGAGGAACTACATCCACCTGCTCACCACTGTGTGCCTAGTGCCAACTCAGAGCGTGATACCTGAATATTCTGTGGTAATAGCTAGACTTTATAGTCCTTCTTGCACTCAACTCTATTAATTTGATCCCTTAAAATATGTCATATATAAAATATAACAGTAACTTCAAACAACTGTTTTGTTTTCCTTCAAACTTTACAAGGTGACACCTCAATATGAGGCCTCAGCTGGTGATGAGCAAAGCTCAGGCTGAGACACCCTGCAGGCTATATTCTTCCCTCTGGTCCTTCCTCTGTCCCAGCCCAGCCAGTAGGTAGACTCTGACTTTACCTGGATCAACTCCGCAGCCACGTTGAGCCGGACTGAGAGAGGCAGCTGTTGAAGGGCTTGAACCAATGACTCACTATCCACGTAGAGTGCTGAGTTCTAGATGGATTTTAAAAGAGGGGGGTGGCAAAATAAGTGTGCATAAGCCATTCACTGGAGTTACTTTTGTCTAGGAGTCCAATAATAAATCACATCTAATGAGCTTCAACGGCTCTCTACCAAACAGTGAGCCCACAGCTCGCTCACTCAGAGACACAGTTGGGCAGTGGTCACCATCACACCAAGCTGACACCGTAGCCTTAAAATTGGGAGAAAACTAGCATTTTAATGAAATTGACCAGAAACTTCCCCTAAATTCAGACTGCCCGTCCTAGGCAGAAGAGAGAAGAGCTGGTTAGGTGGTGACATGGGGGTTGCCAGGTATCCCCAAAGGAGCTGGTGGGTAAGCTCTGCTTCTCTTCAGATCTGAAAACAGCAACTTCCTCTCTCCAGCCAGCAGCACTCGGTGGGGGTGGCACTAAAAGCTTCCATTGACCCTTTCTACCCAGGGATGAAGTTACACTCTTGCACTGTTGTTTCAAACCAACATCCCTGCTAAGTCCACAGCCAAACCAGTGGCTGATTATCTACCATCCTATTAGCTACCTTGTAGGTGTCCTGGTGACCTAAGGGAAACAAGCCCTTAAGAGCTGGTCCTAATGAACTCTAATAGAGGCAAACACCATCCACCACCAATGGTGGACACAGACTTTCATAGGCCTACCCAGGACCGTGTCTTGTCCTGTAATTACTGACTTCACATTGGCAAAAAGCCAGAGATCCCCTAGCTTAATAGCTCTATGGTAGGGGCATCTCAAGGTCAAGTGTGGTAGAGGAAGACACCTGACATCAACTTCTGGCACTCTCCTCTCCTCTCTCCCCTCTTTCCTCTCTCCTCTTCCCTGCCCCCCTCCCTCCCTCCCATAGATGCATACACTTGCATCTCACCATAAAAGAATGTGAGAAAAACCAGGCGTGTAGTGGCACAGGCCTATAATCTCAACATTTGGTAGACAGACACAGGAGGGTCATGAATTTGAGGTCAGGCTGGGAAACATAGTGAAATCCTTTCTTACAGATCTTTGGAGGGAAAGTGGCACCCAATCCATTCCTTACTCATGAGCACAGGAAGGACCTTGACTAAACCTACAGTACAAACACAGCCTTTGTGGTTTAAGGACTGCCAGAAGGCCTTCTATTATGCTTGTTTTTATTTTGTACTACTAAAAGAAGGGTAATAGAGGTACAAGGTTAAGGAAGGAATGTCAGGGAAGGGGGAAGTTGGCAAAAAGAAGCAGAAGAAAAAAATAGCAAAGTAATCTACTGTGTTAAATCATAACCATTAATTTCCTACTTCACAACTCAACCTATGAGACATTCACAGATGGCCTAATGAACTCAAGCTTGAAGGACCTTATCAACTAGGTCTCTTATACATTCTCTCCAGAGCCAGTAGCAGAGAATGCATATGGATTACAGCTCTTTTCCACAAGATTAATCTCTGCTATAATGGAAAGGTGCAGGGCCTTGGTCTTGAGACATTCAAGACACACTTGTCTTACCTGCTTTGGACATGAAGTTTCACCATCCCATTCTTTCTCCTCAGCAAATCGGAACTGTGAGAAGGAGTCCCCTAGGAATAGAAAAAAAATATGTATATAATATACATACACATATACAATTTTATTTACTCACATATATATACACACACACATAATTATACACAGAAGACACCCAGTTTCTCTGTTTCCATTTTAGAGCACAAGTGACATTCTGAATAGTTAACCTTCCAAAATACAGTGACACCATCCTGCAAGTCCTGGACCCAGTGCATACATCTGGGCTCTGGAAAATGCTGATGACAGCTACACTTACTTTATTCAGTTTTCACTCAATAAACCACCATTCCACACGTCAAGGGACAAGCAAACAGGCCTGCAAACATGGTCATTTACCCATATCTAGTCTATTTCCATCTTTTCTGCTCAGTGTATGCAAAGAAGTGTGTATTTATGATGGGAGAGCCAGCAAGGCAGAAGAGGAAAGATGAGACTGAAGGACAGCATCTCTGGATTGACCCACAATGATAACAGACTATCTTTTTGATGAGTTATACTCTTAATAACCTCCATTATCACTCCAAATGTCACCTAGTCAGAATGTCAAACACAAACTAAACTCAAAGATGGTGCATTAGACCATTGTGTAAACCATAGCGCACTACTCTGAGTCTTGAGGTAAGCAACAACGTATGATGGTAACATAAGTAAGCATTGAAAATGATCCTGGGCAGCAAGCTCTATGATCTGCTACAAGGCTTGCTTTGTACATGCATATGCATCTGAAAATTTGCATTAATAATTCATTACACATGAAGAATTCTCTCTCTAGCTTTCACAAGGATCTAAATTTGGTCCTACTTCATTTACTTTCTATCTCCCCAGGCAGCCTGTTTGCGCACTTTCATGTAGACAATTCAATGTTCTATCTCATCTTCTTCTTGTCTGAAGAACCCGAAGAACCATGTGCCTCTTGCCCTTCATCTCCTACCTGTATTTTAAAAACATCACAGGCCACCTCTGCCCTGTGTGTTATCGCCCAGGTGATAGAACCATGGGATTTATTCTTTTCCTTTGATTAACAGAGTGGGGGAGAGAAAATTCAAAAAGGAAGAGAGAGACAAAGGTAAAAAGTAGAAGAAAGACCAAAAGTGGAGAAGAGTCAACACATTTCGTTGTTGGTGAACCAACCTGATACTTCAAAATTCTTAAAATGAATGAAGTCTTATGTGTCCATATATGTACGCATCTATTGTGATTCTCCATGCTTACTGTATAAAATGCCTGTGCAACATCATTTGTACCTACATTACTTTTCATCAGGAGAAGTGAAACTGGAGAGTAAGGATACAGGAGAGAGTTATAAACTAATAGAAATCTACCCAGAAGCTTGGAGGAGAATTCTGCAAGAAAAAGTTGAAGTTTTAAATACCTTCGTTACTAAATAAAGAACAAAGGACAAGGATGTAATTGTTCTATAGTTAGTGGGGAAAAACAAAACAGAGAAGCACAAGAAAAGAACCAACTTTCTATTCTTCCGGCAGTAAAGCGGCTGGAACCCAATGCTTTGTGCTTGCTAGGCAAGTACTTTCCCGGGGTTATACCCACAAGCCTCATTTTTTTTTTTCCTTAAAGAAGTATGTACATCAACCAATCTTACCTAAGTAACAGAAAGCCAGGAGAATTTCTCCTAACAGTGGGATCAGGGTCTGTCTCTGACTCTGTTACCTGCTTTGGGGACCCTTTCCTCCCACTGGGTTGCCCTGTCCGGCCTCAACCGGAGAGAAGGTACCAGTCTTACTGCAACTTGATATACTATGGCTGACTGATATACATGGGACACTGTCCCTTCTGAAGAGAGAAGAGGAGTAGTTGGGGAAAAAGAGGAAAGGTTCAGGGGAGGACTGGGAGAAGAGGGAGGGAGGGGAAACTGTGATCATGCTGGAAAAACATTTAATTATTTTAAAAATTCAAAAATTAAAAATTAGCACATATATACATACACTATATGTATATTTATAAAATATATAATAAAATATAATATATATATATATTTATATATATTCAGGTGGGCTAGATGGCTCAGCAGGTGAAATGCATTTGCCACCAAGCCTGATTATCTGAATTTGATCCTCTGAGACCAATATGATGAGAGAAGAGAACTGCCTCCTGAGTGCTGGCCTCCTCTGACCTCCACACACTCTATGTGGCATGTGTGCCCAGACACACAGACACAGACACATACACACACCTGAATAAAATAAATAGATATGGCTAGGCATGGTTGTATACACTTGGGACACAGAGGAAGGTGGGACTCTGAGTTCTAGGCCAACCTGGTCTACATAGCAAATCCTAGGCCAGCCAGGGCTCTACCATGAAATTCAGTCCCGAAAGGAGGGGGGAGGGGATAAAGTGTGTGTGTGCATGCAAATATATGCCAGTGCGTGTGTGCATGCATATATTAATTTCTCTGTCACAGCCAGTGCAACTGAAGAAAAGAATGAATTATCAATACTAGAAAAATAAATGAAACCATAACAATCTGAAGAAAACAGACTGTTACTATTGTACTAGGAAAATCCAAAGGAATGAGTAGGAAAGGCTTCAGAAAATTTATAATAAAAATAAGCAGCTCTCTTAAAATCCACTTGAAAGTAAAATAGAATAACCTAAGATGAATATACACAGAATTTCTAGGAATAAAGCATAATAAACATTTATTAAAAGCAACTACTTCAAACTTTTTACCAAGGGAGATGAAAAACAAATTTATCTAATCTATAAAATCAATGTTCATTTCAAATCTCAAAAAGATTTATCAAATCATTTTTTAAAAATATGTAAAACCAAGAAATGAAAGGTAGATTTATTTGTTTTTAAGACAAGAGTCTATGAAGCCCTCACTGGCCTGGAACTCACTATGTAGACGAAGATGGCTTCAAACTCAGGGATCCACCTGCCCCATCTCCCGAGTGTTGGGATTAAAGGCATGCACCACCACATCAGCCTTTCAAAGGGTGAAGAATCTGTCTTCAATTTTAAAAATGCATTCAAAAATCTCAATGAATAAAATAGAGAGCTACTCATAAAATAGGAAAGTGCCGAAGAAACCCAGGCATGTGGACATTCAGACAACAGCAGAACATGATATCTGTGGAGAATCGGTCTTTATTGGAACTAAAACATCCCAATTCCAATACCCAAAAACATATTTTGTGTGGCTCAAAGACGTAGACATTTGGGGAAGGCAGAACGACAAACAAGGCTGAATTTTGAAGTTAGAGAAGTATAAATTAAATTCCACAAAATTAAGATATAAAGAAATTATCTTAGGTCTTCTGTGACAATAAAACCAAACTCAAAGATGACGCCGTGACAAGAAACATTTCCAGCACAGACACACAAAGAGCTATTGTTTCTAATATAGAAACAGACTCTGCAAGTCAATCAGAATAAAGCAGCCCAGGAGAAAAGCAGGCCAAGAGAACAGTATATGAAGAAAGACGGCTGATAACATATGCAATAATTAAAAAAAATCTTGGAGTTTTTTAAATTAGCCAACAGCCGACTGCTTTATCTAATGCTGTTTTGTCATTACTATGTGTGTGGGTACATTGTGTTTATGGGTGCACATGTGTGCATGGGTAAGTGGAAGCTTCCACATGAATGGCACAAACAGGAGTTTAGGACCACAGAGGCACAAGAGTTGAAAAGTCAAGGTTTCCAGGTAGGGTCCCGAGTCCTGCCTGCTGAAGCAACCCTTATTCTGGAGGCTTGCTATGAAAGAGTGCAAGCCTAAGGCTGCAGCCCAAAGAGGGAGATGACAGGAACGACAGCCCACAGCTATCTACAGCTTTCTACAGACTGTTTATTAAAGAGAAGAAGGAAAAACACAGGACACAGTAGAAAAAGATCCACAGAGATTGACATACTGACAATATTTCAGAATCTATGTCAAACTTTGTAGAACAGAAACAGCTAAAAATCATCAACAATGTCATTTGTGAAGTCATTTCCAACCCACAGAAAAATCAAGCATGTATAGAGAAGAAAATTTTAAGGAAGAATGAGATATCTAAAATACTGCTTTCAGTAAACATCACACTGATATAACTTAACAGCATTTTTTTATCTTGTTTTGTTTTAAGACCTCAGGGCTGGTGGCCAGTGTTGGGAAAAGCACGTGTTGTGCAGGCTTGTCCTGAGTTCCATTCCTAGAACTTACAGAGGAAGGTTTTCTTCAGACACCACATGTGTGCTGCAACATATACATGCTCCCTCCCTGCTCTCTCCCCCTCGTCACCCCTCTTCTCTTGCCCACACACTTTCATTCTTTCTCATACACATAGTAATAATAATAAAATTAAGTTTTAAATAGTCCTCATGGATGAAGCACATAGAGGCTAATTGCTCTAAATAACAAACTTGCTAAAGGACGAGGACTGCTATGTATCATCGACTGCTAACCCCTCTCATTCTGGCATTGAAGATGAAAGAATATTCACACTCCCAAACTGGGAGCCCTGAACCACAAGTTCTTCTAAAATATTGTGAAAATTGTTCCTTCTGAATCCTACCATGACATGCATAAGAGAATGGCGGTACCACCTGTGCTCCTTTCTCACAGGTCAGACCTGTGGTTGTGCAATAATCCGGGGCCTTCTTTAAGAAACAGTGCACAGTGGGTCCACAGCAGGCTCGACTCTACTCCAGCACACTACTCCCACCAACGACATGTTTCATGACTTACAAGAGATCATAGGGCAGCCTTACCAGACATGCACACAACATCCTAAAGGAAAACAAAAGACTGAGGCTGTTCTGTAGCTTGCAAAACAACAAACAATCCCCCAAATCTGACTCTGCAAATAAGAATGCCAACATGCAGGGCAGGCCATACCATCTGAGGAAGGCTAGAAGGGAGGACTGAGTTCAGAGCCAGGCCCCATTAAAAAGCTGCCAATCATTCTGCTCCAGCGACAGGCTTGAAGGGCACACAATAAAAGCTAAGATGGGAGACAAATTTTATTATGCTTTCAAAGTCCTTGCTCTATTGCCAACGGTGGCTATCTTCTATAGCCAAAATAAAGAGGTTTTTCTCAAAAATCAAGTCATTGTGTAAAGAATCAAGTATTAGAAAATTATGAGGGGTGGTACTTTAAAAATGCTTCCAAACATTCAAAAAGAGTCTGGGGAGATGGCTCAGTAGACAAAAGAGCTTGTATAAGCACAAGGACAGGAATTTAGATTCACCTGAAACCACCTAAAAAGCTAGGCACAACCTTGCATGTCTGTAATCCTGGTACTGGGGACAGAGAGAGGCAGATGTTAGGGCTTGCTGGCCAGCCAGCTGTGTGAAAACAGTTAACTTCAGGTTCTGTGAGCAACCTGGTCTCATGAACTATGACATAAAGTGATGGAAGAAAACACATAACAGGCTCTTCTGGACTCTGCACATTTACACACACACACACACACACACACACACACACACACACACACACACAAATGAACACAATGAATAAGTAAATCAAAGAGAGTGTTTTAAGCAGCACACAATGCTCTGATTTCTAAGATTCCCTGGGTAAAACTCATCACCATCAAATAGCTCTCCAGCTCCAGGTGCTGATGAGAAACAAAGCCTTTAACCACTCTCTCACTATTTGAGAAGATGAAAGCTTAACTACAGAAAGAACATTACTGTGGCCAGCCCACCTCAGATGCAGGCTGGTACCTAAAGAATATGGCAAATCTGTTTGGAATGCTGTTGCAATGGCAGGTGTAATCTCACAGCTGTCAATGCCGGGAGAGCAACAGGCCTTCAGTGTGCCACGACAAGAGTCACCAACAGACAACTGACAGTGATGTTTCAGGTAGGCTGGTGTTATGTTTGATTATTTGTGAAACAGACACCTAACACTCTATGAAAGCCTTTTAAAACTAGGTAGATCTACATGTACTGACACTGAAATATAACTATTGCCTCAATTATATAAAAATCAATATGTAGAATATGAATATGATACATCTGATATATGTGATATATATGTGATATATATATATATATATATATGAGATGTATATATCATATCCTCAAACTAACAAAATTACCCAAGACAACTATATACCTAATTTAAGAGCAACTCTCTCTCAGCAAGTAGTGGGGTTGAAGGAAATTTTCATCTCTGCAAGTGCTTTTCCAGTTGAACTCTCTTTGCCAACAACAAGATGTTTTTGGCACTGAACCAACCAGAACTAAGGGAATCTGTGAAAAAGTTAAATATTCTTGAGGGCAGGAACTAAGATCTGTCAACCCCAGAATTTACTGTTGTATTAATAAATTATTTTCTTATTAACTAATAAAGCTCTCTCCACGTTTGCTAGAATCTTCTAAGTTCCACAGAATAAAAACAAATGAATATTTTATATCTAGGTCCCCAATATTTGATATGTTGACACCATTCAAAGGTATGAAACCTAAATTAAGAAATAAACAGTACTTTGTTTTAGAAATCATCACAGGCTTCTGAAATAATGCCTATAGTGTTTTTAAAAATATGAACTTCTATATACTCTACATATTACCATGGCAATATTGGTGAGTTAAAGAGGTATACACAGTCTATCACTACATTGAAGATGTCCCGGTCTCTTCACCCTGCTTAACTTCCCCAAGCTGCCCAACCGATGTCATGTGACCCAAGGCAAAATGGACAAACTTGCTAGAATCCTACAGAATCAGAATGCTTCAAAAGTCTGCCACATTGTCACAGATAACACTGCTTTCAGTTTAAATTTACCCTTCTGGTCCCTTAACAAAATAAACAAACAAAAACACTTTCAGCCCAACAAAATCACTTAACACAATCAGAGAGCCTGGGCATTCAGGTCAAACTATAAAGAACACAGAAAGAGATATGAAAATGGTGCCTTTGGCCAGCATAGGCCAGGTGTACATAAACACAGATGGTGACCGTGGAAATCTGTTCAAGCCTCACATCCCATTCCTATCATTTGGTCATTTCCCACAAATGAGATCCTTCCTAGTTCCTATGATTTTTCATTTGTTTGGCTTTGGAGATAAAAATATCTCTACATAATCCAGGCTGGCCTTAAATCTGTGATCTCTTCTGCCTCAGTCTTCCAAATTCTGGAATTACCATATCCACCTACTGTTCTGAGCTTTTAATCATGAACTTGACCCATATCCTTTGTTTCGATAGTTCTGGACAAGCACTTCATTGGAAGCTCCATCCCTGCCCCCTTGTTATCACCATCCCTTCTCAACCAGGACCCAGAGTTTAAGAAATCACACATGAACACTGCAGGCTGACAAAGCTCCCACAGGGAATAGGAGGCTAAATGATCTCCACAGTGGTTGCCTTGGAGATGGAAGGCCCTAAATGTTCTTTCTGAAGGTTCCTCATCTGTGACACATAGCAATATTTGGAAAATCAGAGTAAATCTTCAGTCCACAGGCTCACAGAGGTCAATCCAAGAAAGATCAGAGCTCAGCCTATAAGGCATAAAAATTCTCATCACTCTCAATATTTTAGCCTTTTCAGATTTACCATTTTAAATATGGATGTCCTTCAGTGTTTAACCTAAAACAGAACAGCACCTCACTCTGTTATTGAGAGGAAGACAATACAAGCCATTAAGTATCTTAAAAGTTAGGTCAAACTATACAAGCAAGAGAGATCATCAAAATCTCTTGTCCTGCCCAACTGTGACTTATAATTAACTTTCTCACCAGTTGGGAGGCTCCCAAAGCCCCTGAGCATCAAATGTCCACATTGAGCTTCACATATAGGACGTGTCTATCTCCCTAACACTCCTAGAAACCAGGTGTTCATCTGCGTAGAGTGCGTGGAAGGACAGCTGGGAGTCAGAGTTCCAGACTTTGTGAGAGAAGGGTGATGTTGACATTCTGGAACTTAGAATGTAGTTACTTTCCTTCAAATTATTGGTGAAATACTTCTGTGCTGACCCTGTATCACTGTTGACAACGTGGAAAAAATTTTTAGATCAATCATTTTTACAAGAAAGCCAACATCAAACCCTGGCACAGCATTCTAAGATGAGAGTAAATAATCTGAGAAGACTGAATAAATAAGAGAATCCAAAGAACTTCAGAGAGACACGGACATTGTTAAGATCACACATTTGATTTGTGGAACCCTGAGTCAGCTAGGGTCAGGTCTGAGTGTGTGTAACTAAGACATGGATAATTAGGGCAGCTCAAGATAAAAGGCTGCACCTCTATTGACCAAAGACGTCTCGACAGGCTGTCAAAGACTGTCCTGGTAGCCCAGTCTCCTCCCAGTTCACTGCTCTTCCTGAGAGGCCCTTCTCCCTCTGAGATGATGGCCAGAGCTCCTGCTGTTGAGCCAGAACTGCAATATCAAGAAGGAAGAAGAGTGGAGGGGAAAGGGACACATGGCATTCATCGCCAGGTATGGAGGGATTCCAGAAACTGTAACATTGTATTCCCACTTACTTCTCATACATCATACTATTTTTGCTGAACCACAAAGGACATAATCTAACTTTTCCCAGAAGGCCTTGTGCCAAATAGGAATTAAGGATTCTCTTCCCATAGAAGGAGAGAGGAGAGAATGCTGTGTAGAGTGTTAGGTGCTCCTGAATGGGCAGTGAGTCCATAGCAGCAGCTTCTAGGGTAGGAGGTTGTGTCTAGAGATGCACCAACAACCCTCCCCCATCCCCAGGATATTTCAGTGACCTTCCTATAACATTTCAACTTCTTTGGATGGAATTTAGCTTAGAGAATATGTCTTTCAACTTACTCATCTTGCTGATTTTGATAGGGGATAAGTGTGAAACAAAATTGAGGTTTCCAGCAAAATGCAAGACCGCTTTACTGAGTCAGTGCCATTTTCTATTTCCTATAGGAAAACCACCTTGCTCTCCTTGCTCAGACCAAGTGAACAAAGGTTCCCTGAGACAGAAAAGCAGCTTAGGAGTGGTGAAACTCACTTTCCTGTTTCATTTTTTTTTTCATGTACATCCATGTATGTAATGCTATCTTTGTGCTGCTGACGTAATTAGACAAGATGTAATACACAGGACATGAGAGCAAAGGAGGACTATAAACAGAGATCCAACGGGATGGGGAAGAGGAGGGAAAAGAGGGAATTGGAGGAACAAAGACGAAATACTGCATGTTTTCTCTCGTGCAGACTCTAAACTGAAGACACATGTGTGCATGCACACATATGACACGGAAGCAAGAGGAGGGAAGGAGACTAGGAGAGGACAATGGGGCACAGATCAGACTAGGGACATTGATTTACATGTATAAAACCGTCATAATAAGAGCCAGTGGGTAAAATGTTTGCTGTGCAAGCCTGATAACCTTAGTTCAATACCCAAGTTGTTCAATTACCCAGGTTATTATACTTAGAGGTAAAAGAAGAAAATGGAGTCACAAAGTTGTCCTCTGCCCTCCACACACGTGCCATGGTATGTGCATAACTCTCCCTATACACGTCACACATAATATACAATAATATTAATAAAATTTAAATGTCATAATGAAACTCATTATCTTTTATGCTAACAAAAATTATATATGTATATAAATGATTTTGTCCCCCTAAAAGTTTATTTGTATTTCATTTATAACCTGACACCTCAGAATTAACTTTGAACCTAACACCCCCAGTACTAACTTTGTTGGTTACCTCTGCTGGTATAAACCATTATATAAACAATCAAGGAGTTCAGATCTAGCAATCAATGCACATTGCCCAAACATAACAAAAAATGCCAATGCCTACACAGGAAAAAAAAAAAAAAAAAGATTACTGCCAGGCGGTGGTGGCACACACCTTTAATTCCAGCACTCGGGAGACAGAGCCAGGCAGATCTCTATGAGTTCGAGGCCAGCCTGGTCTACAGAGCAAGATCCAGGACAGGCACCAACACTATACACAGAGAAACCCTGTCTCAAAAAAAAAAAAAAAATTACAGTAAAGAATTCTTTAGTCACTCAGTCACTCAACAAAGCTGCATACAGCTACACATGGCAGGTACTGCTCCAAAGAAGGAAAAACTGAATCATTTAATGCCCGTCTGAAGTGAGGTTGTGAACATATAGTCAACTACAGAGCACACAACGGTGGACACAAAGATGAAAAGAAGTATTGCGTTGCTGTAGAGGAGGATGCAACCCAAGGGAATGTGGAGGCAGGTGAGGCTTCCTAGAAGAGTGAGGCCTGCTTTGAAAGATGACAGAGGAAAACAAACCAGGAAATTGTAAATGAAAAGCCGAGCCTAAATCAGAGGGGGAAATGCAGCTACTGGAGGCCCTCCCTACAAGCAGTTGGGTGTTTCTAAAACACAAAATGTGATAGAATAATGAAAAGACAAAAGTTACAAATGGTAATATGCATTATAACTGAAGATGTCACATTAAATGTTGATACTAAAGACAACCCCAAATTCCTATTAATAGTTCACACCAAATGCTCACATTTTATATCATTAATATTAATATTCCTATTATCTGTAATGTAAGGTCTATAAAATACTTGGGGAATTCAGATGTGATGTACTTTTCACAGATGCTCTAAGAGACATTATTTGAGAATACCTTCAGAAATAGTCATGTTATATTTTGAACACTTTTGTTTGATTCTTTTGGTGCTAGGTATGGAACCTGAGGCAGAACTACATTTTTCAGAACTATACATTAGAATATCAAACTACATTGCAGTAACAAAACCATAAAATGGATATCATTTAACCTCAGCAGGAAAAGACTTTAAATGGTATGTATATAAAGTAAAAATTTTAAACTCTAAAGCCACATTATTCCAACAATGGTGGACTTGTATATTTATTAATTACTTGGTCAGGATCTATTTAGTCCAAGCCTGCTTTGAACTCACAATTCTCCTGCCTCAGCCTCTCTGGTGCTAGGATTATAGTAATGTGCCACCACACCTGGTTTTTGGTGTCTTTAGTCTCAGTCAGTACAATAAAATTATTCTCACCAGTGCCAAGATCATTTCTGTCCATATTCAGTGGGTGTTTATTTCTTACAGTCCTTCCCTCTGTTGGCATGGGGACTTTGTTTTGAAAATTATTAGTAGGCTAATTAAGAGGCTCATACTGTTCCCTGGATTTCTCTACCTCACATATCAATATGTCTTAATTATCTATTTCTCTACCTCTTCCTTCTATTCAACTCAAGGAGTATGAGTTTCTGAATGGAGGAAAAAATCAGCATTGAATTTACTTTGTCACTTGGGTGTGTTTTTTGTTTTTGGTAAACACTATTTTACTGTGATTTATATAAGCAAACATTTTCCACGGTCATTTGAATTTTAAAAGATTTTTGATTAGGCTTCTTGTCAAAAATTAGAGCACATAAAAGCAAAAACTGTAGCTTTCACCGCTACCAATTTGCCACACAGTGTGAAGGCAAGTCCCCACATGGTGCAGCAGAGTGGTCCTACTCTTGTGACTTCGTGAACCATTAACAATATCTAGATTTTTGAGTTGGGTGGTGGTGGTGAATGCCTTTAATCCCAGCAGTCAGGAGGCAGAGCCAGGCAGATCTCTGTGAGTTCAAGGCCAACCTGGTCTACAGACCGAGATCCAGGACAGGCACCAAAACTACATAGAGAAACCCTGTCTCAAAAAAACCAAAACCAAACAAACAAACTAGATTTTCATATATTATTACAGAGTTTTCATTTTTAGCCTCTATGGAGTGTTTGCAGGAGTTACAGTAATATATGCAACTCTGACCTTTGTGAGGGTCCCAGCCCATTTCCCATGAATTCAGGATGCTTTCTGCACATTACACACACTGCAGTCTACCATATACTTCTGGGACTGCTACAGTGCCTGGTACACTGCAGACAGTTAGAAACTGTGCTTACTACCTAAACCTATGTGTTGAAGAATAAATGAGCCAGTGAATGAATACAGAAGTCTAAGACTAAACCAAAAATTACTCTAAGTGGTCTATGTGCCATAAAGGGGTAATGTAATGGAGAAATAAGAAAAAAAAACATCTTCATGAAGTTTGCTAAATATGTAACAGAAATGTAAAATATAGAGTTATGTTTGTAATCAGAATTTTCTGGGACTGAGGACTTCTGATGGGAACAAGTGGGAGGGAGTTGAAGGTGACAGAGGTCTCAATTGTAGTTGCTCTTAAACAGTTCTCAAAAATGAAGAGAAGAAACTAAAGATATTCCAAGATGTGAATATTTTAGTGATGACTACTGAAGTCAGTACTACCAACCTGTAAGATGGGAAGTGGTAGCATGGTTTTTAAAAAGGGTTATAACAAGTTGAAGATACCAAAAAGGAAGGCTTTAAAAAATTCTATTTGTTCATAATAAACAAGTTTTAGAAATTCCTCCTAGGAAAATTTTAATATATAGGAAGGGATTTAATACAAGCCGTGCTTGTATTAGAAGGCAGGATGTCCCTCAGGCCTGTCTGCTTTGTGAAGTGCTGTTTGCAGTGCATAATGACCCCATTTAAATTCTTCTTTAAAGTTCTTGCTTGTTCTTTCTGTATTTCATATTTCCTGCACAAGAGCTGAGGTCACCACTGTGACGAGCAATGCGCCGTGAGCAGACACGAGTGCGGTTGGGGGAACTATGGATGCATGCTATCAGCATGCCCACCTGCTCTAAGTTTCACCTGATGAGCTGCTCTGACTCAAATCAAATGTGCAACAAACCAAAATGAACTGGTGCTCCACCCACATACACGTTCTGTCTGAAGGCTGCTCACTAAAAGAACGGGAAGAAGAAACCACCCTGGGAATGAAGCCTGGGGAGCAGCTGTGGCCACTTGCACACGGTGGCAGGACTTGCTCTCTTCTGGCAAGAGAAAAATGAAACCATTGGCAACCAACACGGAAGCCTAACTGAAGGGATAATGAGCTAACCAGCGCCTGTAGTTGGGGTGGTAAGATGGTCTGTCTTCCAACAGCAAAGCAAAGAAAGCTGCAGATTCACAGACATAAGGAAGCTACAGATCTGTCATAGCCTTTCCTTATAACTGACCTTCAAGATTCATATCCCAACATCAAGCTAAGGCTTGAGCACTGTACTTCTGACATATATTCTCCCAAACTGGAGTTACTGTGTCCAAGAATGAAATATATACTGGAAGTATTTTTGTATGTTACTGTATTTTCCCACTTACAATATATTTGCACACTTTGACATAAATGTGTATTGTGCCTACCATCACCAGAAGCTGGTGATGCAGAATGCAGCACAAAGTACCCGCTCTCACAGGATTTACACTCTAAATGTTTGTCAACACTTTCTGTTGTTGTCACTGTTTCTGAGAAGGTCTTACTATGTAGTTCTGGCTGGCCTGAAGCTCACTACGTAGGTCAGGCTGGATTGAACCTGTGACAATCTTTCTGCCTCTGCTAAAATTTCAGGGTGTTGCCACCACACCCTTTTTGGGAAAGATATTTAAATAAATTTGACTATTTCATAAAATCAATATATTTTATATTTATACTCACAATTTTAATGAAAATCATGTTTTCCTAGTATTTATTGAATATCCTTTTGCCGTGTGTGTTTGTGTATGTATGTTGTGTAAAGATACACATGTACAAATATGCTCATGTGTGTGGAGACCAGTGGTCAAAGTTGAGTGTCTTCCTCCATCACTCTTTATCTTGGTTTTTGAAGGCAGAGTCTCACTGAACCCAGGACCTGAAAGCTCGGGAGCCTTGGCCTGCCCTTCCAGCAGTGGAACTACAAGAACTGGCTGGGGTGCCACTGAGTATGTGGGTGCTGGGCACCCAAAACCAGGGCCTTGTGCTCACGCAGCAAGCTATTCGCCAACTGAGTCATCTCCCCTGGCTACTTACTAAGTATATTATGTGATTATAGAGGGGTATAAGCCTTCTTATTACAGGGATGAGAGAGAAGGGGAGGGGCAGAGGAAGGGAAGGAGAGAGGGAGAGGAGGGAGGGAGAGAGAGAGAGGGAGAGAGCGCGCGCTAAAATAGAAGGAAGCAACAAGTGAGTATAATGTGGAAAATACAAACTTTTCACAGTTTTCTCTTGTGCAGAACCTGGATTTCCCATATGAGTGTGTGTGTGTGTGTGTGTGTGTGTGTGTATTTATGTGACTATGTTGGCATGAGACAGTGAAGCAGCAGATGTAAGACTATCTGAAATGAAGAGGTCCCACAGGAGGGGGGGGTGCCCGGGGGGCAGGACAGGTGAGCATGAACAATGCCTTACATACACACACAGGATAATCCATCATGAAATCCATTTACCCACCATTTTTCAAAAATAAAAAGCAAAATAAGCCTGATTTAAAAGTTTAAAGAAGCAACAGCATAACGATGTTTTAAGTTAATTCAGTTGCTTACATAATGTTCCAATTTTCTACATAATTTTTCCTAGATGCTAATTGCTATGTGTGACATATGTAATTAAAAGGCAACATCTAGAAATTAACCTTGGGGCTACCTCTGTGATGTTCTGATTCTGCAGTATATTAAATTACCGGATATCTCTTTATTTAAAGCAAGTTTCCTTCAACTTTCCCCCAGGGCTTAAATGTCTCAGGTTTTTCACACGAATTCTCATGTTTTTCAATCTTGCCTTTGGTTGGTAACATAGCTGGAGTCAAAACTAAACTATTCTTACCCCCTACAATAGATATGCATCTTAAAAATCCGGCTGGGCAGTGAGGGGGTTTGCTGGAGAGATGGCTCAGTTGTTAAAGGCACTGAGTTCAATGCCCAGGACCACATAACGGAAGGCGAGAACTAATTCCCACGAGTTGTTCTTTGACCATGACACACACACAGGCATATATCACCCCTCCCCAGACAATATAATAAATTTAGAAAAGGATGTGAAAATCAGACCTTGATTTTAATGGATTTTCTGTCTTAGAAGGGTACCCTCTCATTTGAATTGTTGTTTTCCATTGGTTCCCACTTTCTCCCTCAGGGATACTGTTGGAATGTGGACACTTTTCACTCTATTGCTGGTTGCGTAGTATCACTCACATCTATTTCTTAACTGATTTTTTGCAGCTGTATCCTAACTGGTTTATCTACTTCCAATATAACCTCAGAGTCTCAGTAAGTCAACCAGAGAAGCAGAACAGTTTAATCTCTAGTTAAAAATAAAAGTTGGAGGCAAGGTATTACTACATTGCCCAGGCTAGCCTCAAACTCATGATCTCCTGCCTCAGGCTTCCAAGTGCGAGAATCAAAGGTGCACACCACCACAGCTGGGTTGATGAGGAACTTTTTAAACATGTATATGTAAATGCCGGGTGTGGTGGCGCATGTCTTTAATCCCAGCACTCAGGAGGCAGAGGCAGGGACTGTGAGTTCAAGGCCAGCCTGGTCTACAGAGTGAGTTCCAGGATAGGCTCCAAAGCTACAAAGAGAAACCCTATTTCGAAAAACCATAAAAAATAATAAATAAATAAATTTTTTAAAGTATATCTGATCCAGTCAGGCTCTTACTTAAACCACTCCTGATTTTAGATAAAGTATAATAACTCCTACTTCCAGCCAAGACTGAGGGCGAAACATATCCTCCCAGTGAAATAATAGCAAAAAACAAAACAACTGACAGAAAGAAATAAGGCCTTCGGGATATTGTACATTAGACAACTGGGGATTTACCCGTTAACTGGCAACATTTTCTTGCTGTGGTGCGACACAAGAAACTATGCAAAGTTCAACGGACTCCATGAAGTGAGAGGAGAACTGGGGACAGAGGCAAGCACGGGGCCAAGAGCCTGTGTGACAGAGCAAGACAGGACAGAGGGCCCTCCATCTCGTATTCTTGCTGAGGCCGTTTCAGGTTTAACTAGACTTTGATCGCCTTGACGGAGAATCTCATGGAAAATTACCAACTGTATTTTAGGAACTCAAGGTCAACATGCCCCAGCTAAGTTATCTTCGCTTCTGTTAAATTGCCAGCTTGTACAATTGTGCAGAGTCCCCTCTAGCTAACCGCTTACTTTAGCTTCTGCTAAACTGCTTGTTAAGCTTCTGTGAAGCTCCCCGCTGCAGTTCCTGAGCGAGATGCCAGGCCTGGCCTTTGCCTTAAAAAACCCCATGCTCTGGACACTCATGACTAGACCCTAGTCCTCAAATACCAGAGTATAGCCCTAGTCAGCTGAAATAAAGACTTTCAGTTGGCTATAAACTGTATCTGAGTGATCATCTTTGGTGGACTTCCTATAACACCTACAAAAGAGAATGCCATGAGGAACCTACAGACCAAAGGCTCTGGAGTTCCAGGCATGCATCCCTCAGGTACTCTGCAGACCACTGAGCACAGCCAAGTATGAGCAACCACCCAAGGGCACAGAAAAACAGACATCCAAACATGCTCTAGAAAGTGGTGTTGAGCACTCAGTCATCACCAGGGGTGTCTTTTCCACAGTCATACTGTAAGAGACATGATTCACAGGGATTCACCATACAGAGATTCATTCTATATGCAAAAAGGCCTTGCTATAGTGGTTATCCCACACTAAACACTGCTCTGGTTCCATCTAATCAATATTAAAAGGAAGGTCACAAGGATCAAACTTTTAAAGAGGCTTGTCTATACTTCAGAGAAAAATTATTTATAAGAAAACAAAATCATAAAGCACCCAACAAAAATAAAGCCCACATGTGGTATTGTATTCCCCCAAATATTGTGCATGCTAATAAACTTATCTGGGGTCAGAGACAGAGCAGCCACAATATTAAACATAAAGGATAGGCAGTGGTAGCACACGCCTTTAATCCTAGCATTCCAGAGGCAGAAATCCATCTGGGATCTCTGCAAGTTCAAGGCCACATTGGAAACAGCTAGGCATGGTGACTCACGCCTTTAATCCCAGGAAGCAAGCCTTTAATCCCAGGGAGTGATGGTAGAAAGCAGAAAGGTATATAAGGCATGAGGACCAGAAACTAGAAGCATTTGGCCTGGTTAAGCATTTGGCTGGTTAAGCTTTCAGGCTTCGAGCAGTAGTAGTTCAGCTGAGAGCCATTGGGATGAGGACTCAGAGGCTTCCAGTCTGAGGAAACAGCACCAGCTGAGGAATTGGCAAGGTGAGATAACTGTGGCTTGTTCTGTCTCTCTGATCTACCAGCATTCACCCCAATAACTGGCCTCAGGTTTGATTTTATTAGTAAGACTCTTTAAGATTCCTCCTACACCCACACTTCTGACATGCATTCAAAAATTACCTGTCCCTCTAAATTACCCAGCCTGCAAAGAGGCTGGAAAGGGACCTGCACTGAGGAAAACGGTCAATCAATTGAAACTGAGCCAGAACTGACAACGATTAAATAAACAGACAAAAAACAAAAATGCTCCATCCTCTCTTGCATTCAGCTGTTTCTCCTGGCTGGAATGCTCAGCTAGAGCTGTGCCAGGAGGAGTCCCAATTTGATGTGTTTAACACCCACAGTGGAAACACCCACCAAGGCCACTTTCACGTTGTCAATAGTGTAGCTTGTGGAGTTCCTGAATTTTTAATAATCAGATCATGTGCTGGATCCACCTCTCCCAGTGGAGTCCAGTCAATCAATCAATCCACCTTCTTCATATCTTAAACACTGGTTCCTTTGGAGAGCAGTCTGTGAGTTTCCAAATCTGAGTTAAATGTTCCTTCTCTAGGCTCCCCTAATACACTGTGCATACACCATCAAGGCACTTAAGATATTCTATTATTATGTGTTTGATTCATGAACCCCAAGAGAGAAGATAATGCCCTGTAAATTAATCCACATGCTGAGCATTTCCACAGTAACAAACATGGGATGACAAACTACTAGCTGAATGTACAATAACATGGAGCTGCACTGATAGGTACAACATAGAGGACTCTCTAATAGAAGATCTCTAGTGTATTACACAATGTGAAAGAGCCAGATACAAGCGGCACATACTATATGATTTCATTTATATGACACTCGGAAAGTGATAAGCTTACAAATTCATGGTTGCTAGGAGAAACTGCAAAACAACATGAGAGAACTTTAGGTGGATAAAAAGGACTGGAAGTCACAGACTGTGCACTTATATAAACTGCATGCCTATTAGGATCAGTTTTACTCAACATAAACTATTACGTCCATAACCATTAACATTTCTTTAGTCAGCAGC